CGCTGGAAGGCAGGATTCGTGAGGTGCCGACGCCTACGTCGATAGTACGACATAGCCGCATGCACAGTATCAGTAGTACACCTAGTACGGTCAACGGACACGCTTCCGGCCTTCACTGCATCACGAACACGTATTCTCCTGGTCCGCCTCATGTCAGCCACACCGTACGGTATCTCAAGGCGGCGTGCTGATAAGCCAACTTGGCAGGCTCGGCGTTCATGATGTACCGCACGTCAGGTAACAAACAAGACATGTTTTGATGCCTACTCGATACGAACTTTTGAACGGTGTACTGCGCTTTGGCCAGTTCCTACGCTGGCGCATATGGCTGCGCTCGGAAAACCCCTTCATTCCTTCCAGGCAGGGGCGGGCGCGGCAAGGGAGGCAGGGGCGGGCGCGGCAAGGGCGGCGGCGGCTGGGGCGACTACTAAACAGGCACGACACCCCCGCCATATCACGCCCTGTCTTACGCACCCTTCCCCCCCCACAGGGCCCCCGGAGAGATAGGATAATAGTCGTGGGGCGGGTGGACCACCCGGGGGGGTCGGAAACCACACCGTCAAGTGGACCCGTGGATTCGGTCAGGCTGCGGGAGGCAGGGGCGAGGCCAGGAGGGGCTGCCGGAGTGCACGACCCAGCCTGCGATTCCTCGCGCACCCACCGCCAGCCGGGAGGGCTGCTCCCCGGGAGTACGCCAGCCGGGAGGGTCGCAAAGCCGGGAGGGCGCAGGGGCGTCGCCTCGAGCGGCGTCCAGGCGCCAACTCGGCTGCCCCCGTTAGCTGCCCACGGTAACCCCGACGCTGCCCGTTGCGAGGAGTCAGCTAGTAGCCCGTTCACACCGGCACCGGCACCGCAAGGGTCGCTAACAGGATCAGGCAGAGAAGACGAGACGGCGGCGGGGCCGCAGCCGAAAAAGGCTAGGAGGGGAGGTCGGGCCCCGCGCCCATCGCACAACTATCGGGATGCGGCCAGGAGGAAGGACCGAGAGGTGGGGGAAGACGCCCCGGAGTGAAAGTTGGGAGACCTCGAAGAGGGGCCCGGTGTGGTGAGGTGCCGGGTGTGGATGGGCGTCGAGTCCGTGTCGAGTGTTTACTAGCTCCGAGTAGAGGGGGCGTTCTGCTGCTAGGGGAAACCTGGAGCGCGGAGCTAACCCTCGGAGACCCGTTTTTACTTTAAGGCCCTTGCCCTGCGAATGCGCACCCCCCCTAGCTAGGGGTCAGGGCTCTCTAGCCCGTAGCCCGATGCCGATCATCCGGCTCGCTGGGTGCGCTTCTCAGCTCCCCGGCCCTGGATGTGAGGTTAATGACTGCACTCCAAGTGCTCCAAGGGCACTTTACGAATCTGCTGATTGGCCGTCCACGATGATGCTGCACGTGATTGATCATGACACTCGTCATCAGCTCAGAGTTAGCGCTGAGTTAACTATCGTCTTGTCATCCCACTGTTGGCAACAAGCTTGCCACCCTGAACACTGGACGATGGGCGCCGCATCGTCAGTAGGCGGCTCATCATCAGTGCAGGAGCCAGCAGAGCAGGCTGGTCGCATACCCGAGGAGCTTCAATGGCAGAGCCCCCAGGCAATCTTTGCCGAGGCAGATGCACACCGTGCTCTGTGCATTTCCACAGCACAGCTGGTGACCGTGCTGACAGATCAGGGCTTTGGCCAAAATGTGGTTGACAAGCTCATGAAAGAGCTCGGAAAGGATCCAAATGCCCTGCTAACCGCCAAAGAGTGGCAATCCGGCTTCTACGCTAGCAGCCTTGTGAGCTCTGAGCCGCCTCCAAGTGAGGACTTCCCCATGACCTGCACCTTGGTGGCGATGGCTATGCCATCAGTGACAAAGCGGAGCGTGGGATCACCGTCGCGCAGCTGCCGTGTCATCAAACACATCGAACGCCGGTGCGGTGCCGAGTCCTGGGCCAACTTCGTGGGCGTGCGCCTGAGCACAGAGAGTGTGACAATGTATGACGCGTCACGCTTTGTGATCAAGCCAGCAACACGCGCCAAGCACACAAGCTTCGTCGAGCTCATTGCCGAGGGCCGGCAAGCTCCGCTGTACTTCGTGAGCCACTGGTGGGGACAGCAGTTGGCGAGCCTCGTCAAATGCCTCGCGCAGCACGTCATCGACCGCATGCTCGACTCTGAGAGAGAGATTTTTAGCAGTTTTGTCGACTCTGATGACCTAGTCTTATCGTACACGCGAGGGCAAGCAGCGGCGTATTGGGTCTGCGGTGCATCGCGCCGCTGCGCCTGCACGCAGTCAAATTGCGTTGATCCGCACCCGAGTCTCGACAGACTCTCCGCGCCTGCCATTCTCACGCCATTCTGCCGAGCACTGTTGTGGATAAACCTCGGCCCGCACACTCCGCAGCATTTGCCAACAACCAGTGGAAGTTTGACGCAGAGAGGGAGAGCACCGTCTGGCTCGACGAGACGTCCTCCGTCACATCTATACATACGTACTCTCTCCTTCATATCTCACCCTCCGCCCGTCTCTTTCATGATCGGCCATATCACCGTGGGTCACCGCTTCCCATCTGAACAGCGAAGTTAAAGGCCAAGGTGGGCCCTATTGAAAAGACCCCGATTTGGAGGGGTGTCGTGTCGGACAAGCTAAGCTCAAGCGCGCTGTCGCTGCCCGAGTTGTGGTCACGTCCCCGAAATCTTCGCCGGCCCCGCCAGCTTGACCGACTGGACCGCGGAGAGGCTGGGCTTGGCCGGCGGCGCGACGCGTGGCCTCTGCTGCGGCCATCTCGGACGCTCAAGCGGCGCCAGCCAGCGGCTCGGCCGCGCATCCTTCACACACGCCGCCACGACCAAGCTGAGCGGGCCCGGTGTCGAGTCATGGTGCGAGATGCATGTCAGGGGCGGCTGTGGCCACAGCAGGTCCACCAGACGGGCGTCTAAGCTTGCCGTCGGCGTGCTGTCGTGGCGAGAGCCGAGACCGCTGCAGAGGAGCCGAGTGCAGTGGCGAGCCAGAGGCTACCAGGGTCACCAGGTGGTAGCCCCTGCCCATTCTGAGCAGGGATGTGCTTTGATGGGGTTGTGCTTG